AAATGAGTTAAAAGATAGACAAATGATTATTTATATTTAATATTGTTGTATTTTTTATTCCTAATTACCTATCATACCAAGACATTTATATTAAAGTAAGAGAAATGATTCAGGTGGTTTATGTTCATTCATAACTAATTTCAGCGTGTTGTACTTAATTATTTTCATTTATGGATTATTTCTTTATTAATTATAGGCATTTGAGTTGATATGATATGCAATTACATAAGATACTAAAACTAAGAGTAATATAATTGACTAATTATAATTTTCTAAATAATATCATGCTTTAACTAATGTGAGGAGAAAGAGAAAAGAGGAAAACGTATAATTCGTAGGAAGAAACATTTTGATGAAAAATGTCATTGTAGAAGACGCATTCACTTGAAGATTCTTTCATAACCATTTTTTTTAATAGTAGATCAAGCAATTGGATCACTTGAACGAAGATTCAATCAATTCAATTCATATGAAATAAATTTTGGATTTTTTATTTCTTGTGAAAAGTTAAACACATTGGATGATATTAATTTGAAAGTATGTTGTGATCATCTTGACATTGTTCTAAGACATGTAATTTTTTCGATCTTGATGGCAAAGATTTGTTCAAGAATTAAATTTTTGCAAATTTTTTTATCAAAAGAAACAAAGACAACTTTTGATATTGACTTATTTGAAAAGAATGAATAATTTTTCGAATACATTTATTGCTTATAAAGTATTACTAACAATTAATGTTATTAAAAAGAAGTTTTTCAAAATTGAAATTATTAAAATCTTATTTTACAATCAATCCTGTTACAAGAACGATTGAATGACCAGGTTTGATATCTATATTAAACAAGATTTGTTAGAACATATTGATTACAAAAATTTAATTAGTGAGTTAGCGTCTAGAAATACGAGAAGAACTATTTTTACATGATTTATTGCATTTCAAAGTTTACACGTATTTGATGTTTCTGATTTCAAGATTTGCTCATAATTTGAACTTTACCTTACTTTTTTGATTCACGATATTTAAAAAATTAAACAACATTTAAATATTATAATTTTGGGATCATATAATATTATTGAAATATATTTTTTTAATTTCATGAAATGAGCACAATTTTAAAATGTCACATATGACATCTAAAATTTTAGGGCCGGCCTCGATAGTCTTCTGGAACTTTTTTCCAACAGA